CATTACTTGAGCGCTGTATTTCGCGCAAATTAAATTGTGTCAGCTGCTTGCCCCACATCGCATTGTCTCGCGTGGGATCATGTTGTAGGTACTATTGTTCATCGGAGAAGCAGACTGTTGGCAAAATAGAAAATTCAGAACAATGAGGTGTTATTTTTCGACTTCCCGCGCTGAACCACTCGGAACCAGAGAGTGACAAGGCATACTGTATTTAACGGCTAATTATATGCATTCTAGTTAGCCGGATAAATGTTTTAAATTCACTGCGTCACGGTTATGCTGCTTTAGGCAACATTTTCCGCGTTGGTTTTCGAAACGCACCTAAATATTTCTAAAGTCAAAAATTGTGAATAGCCGTGAGTAATTATGAAGTTATCAGCGAGTCTGTCCGACGACAATCGAGGCACAATCAGTAATCCGGAGTTTCACTCCACTTTCCTGACTTCCTAAGAAATGTGCGTTAGTGCTCATAATAAATGTGATAACACATCAATGCTGCGGATAAGAAGCCGTGTTGCGCTGCGGGCTGTCATGAGATAACTTTAATATAATGCTGCATTTGTATTTAAATTTCAATTAAGATTTTGATTAGTGCCGCGGATATTTAAGTAAAGTAGGCAAACCCTTACAAAAGTGAGAGCTGTTCTAAGATATAAGAATACAGAGTATAAAAATTATAAAGGGCTCAAACACTGCAAATTAAAAAGTGTTACTAAATCGATAGATATAACACACCTTGCCTTACTTTGTCAAACTCGTATCTTATAAAGAGTGATTACTCAGGAGATGGCTAAACTTTCCATTTATTTTAAATTTCCAACAAAGGGTGTTAATTTGGATGCATTACTTTAAGAATAGCTAAAAGCCAGTGTGTGAATATGAAGGAAATGATTTGTGAAATCAGCCTGCAAAATTTGTATACACAATTCCCTTTTTTACATTTCGGTAATTTTGTGCTTTAAGATACGAGTTTGAGAAAGTAAGGCGACGATATGTGGTCTACATTTATAACATTTAAAATTCTTATGGGTGAACAAGGAAATTCGCATCCTAACCACAACTTAAAGGACTAGTTAACGTTGATTGCAGCTATATGCAATTGCTAATTTTTTTTTGGGTAGTTCAATATAGTGATGGCACGTAACGCGAAGTGGCCAGAACTCGCGCGGTACGACGACCGATGGCGCGTAACTAATAATACTAAGGACGAGTTGACTGCAAGCCATGCAATTTGCGCATTGAAATAAATGTGTATTTGCTTTACCATGACTTCTATAGAACAATAAATAGTCAAAAGAATGACGGTATCTGTTAAAACACTATTTGTGACGTTCTTCATTTACAAACGTCTTTGTGCGTAACAATAATTATATAGGACCAGACAATCCCAAGACTAACTCGGTCATAAAGAATCATGAACATAATTGAAATTAGTTCCGAAACAACAAGAAACAGTACTGGAGACATTTTAAGTATCGCAAATGTCGAAATGCGGCGGTATTTTTTTCCATCAGGTTGAGGTAAATTTGTAAAAAAAATCAAGACAATAATTTCATACTGAGCACGCACAACTCGTTACGCGTCCTAGAGAAACATGGTATCCCTAACGATTTTGGGACTTATGGAAAAAAGGGAGGCGGTTTTGAATTCAACCATAAGTAATTCAAGTGAAAGAGGTTAATTCAGCAAACTAGGGGAGGAGGAACTTTTGTGAACAGTTTTTTTAGTACTCTGTACTGGCTATTTATATTTTTTATTACTGGTGGATGAAAAGACAGCTGCGTGCTAGGGACACTGTGTAGCTCCGCCGCTACAGTAGATACCAAAATCTGTAGGGACACGGTGTGTTAATAAAACGTTTTGCTATCTTTACGTGGAGTAAGGCGTCAAGAACGCCTACGTTTCACACAGAATGCACCTAATGTTACATAACAGTCGACAGGAAAGGCGGGGCAAAGTTCAATCAACATTTTCTTGACAAAGTAATCCAGTGTAGGTATCCAGAAAAACGTACCGCAAATAGCTTAGGAGGTTCCCTGGAGAGCCAGTTACTTAATTAACTACTTTACATATAAATTGGTAGAGTCTATTTGGAACAAACCTAATCAACAGTAACTAAATGATACAGTCGTCAGGTTTACACCTGCGTGCAACTAATATTTATACAAAACTAATAGCAAAATCGCATAGGGTTGCACCATTGTATAAAGTCGATTAACTAAATACTATATTTAAAAGTGTTTTCACAAACTTTTTTCTTTATAATTTAGTTTTGAGAAACACCAACTAAACAGTGTATTATCACAAAATACATCATCCTTGGTTACATTGTGTTTCATTAAGTGAAATTGTGGTCAAGCTATTTTACATTAAAACATAGAGCATAGCTTTGTGTTACGAAGTTTTGTTGTGTAAATTAATACAAAGAAACCCTGAGATATTATAAACAATCTGCACTTGCTGAATACCGAGAACGCCAAATCCGTACATAGGTTTTGATTAAGAGAAATTGTAGTTTTAAAAGATAAATTAGTCTAGAAAGCTTTAAGAGCATTTAAATTTAAATTAGTATTCAAGTGAGTAGTATTTAATTTATAACCACAATAAATAAAGTTTTACATAAGGTAATTATTTATTAGAGGCTAATAAAAGTAAGTTAGGCAACATGTTATATTATAATTTATGTTATAAATAGAAAGAGAAACAGATCTTTGCATGTTGATGTTTTACTATGGAACACCAAGTTTTACAATAATTTCATGTGAATTGAAAATAAATACTCAATGTACACCTGCTGCCACCTTTGGGACGGCTCTGCCCAATACCAGTTAGCTGCCTTGGACTCGGTGGAGCGTAAAGCAAAGAGACTTATTAACAATAATCCTCTTGTGGAGTCGAAGCTCCAAAATCTCGATCATCGCAGAAAAGTAGCCTGCTTGTCGGTTTTCTATCGGATACATTTCGGGGAGTGTGCGCAGGAACTTTTCAATTTGGTTCCGCCCTCACCGTTCCTCCTTCGGTCGACTAGAAGGTCCGGAGCACTCCATTCTTATGTCGTTGATATTCCACCTATTCGCACTAAGCGCGTTGCCTCCTCCTTTCTGATGCGTACGGCAAAGGAATGGAATGCTCTACCGGCATATGTATTTCCCGAAAAGTACAATTTGGGGCTATTCAAGGCTAGAGTGAATAGGCATTTTTTAGGCAAACGCGTCCCATCGTCGGTCACATCGTCGCTTAACATCAGGTGAGATTGTGGCCAAGCGTGTGTCTATTATATATTAAAAAAAAAAAAAAAAAGTACAGTATAATTCTTAAGCATGAAACAAACAGAGTGCGAACGTGCCCGACCCGCATCGGCTCACTGTGTGTTTCATAGTTAGTAAGGAGATGATACCATTTTGCACATACCATGAATACCATTTCCCTTTATATTATTCCCAAAATGGGAAATCAATTGAGGTACAAAAAACATATTTTAGAAAATGAAATTGTTATTATTATAGATTATTTTGCAGATCTTTTAAGTATCAATAAGGTATGGTGATCACTACAATAGCTGGACAGTAATGACACAGCCAGTCATTTCAATAATTTAAAACTTCAGTAATTTTACTATTCCTGTGACAATATGTTTTTGTTACATATATGGATGTGCTAATTGTTTTGCTCTACAATTGAACTTCCAGTTTAATTGACCAATACATTAAGTATGGATTCATCACATGTGCAAAAGATAATGAGTAAGACTTTGAAAGTAGTAGCGAATAGAATCTTGCTAATAACTTAAGTGTTTGTTGTGTAGCATTTACCTAGGTCACATAAAATTTCACATTGTAGGCATTCTTGCAAATGAGAAATATTTTGTACTACTCATGGCAATTTTTATGTTATTACGTCTGAGCACACAGTGGTGCAGTGACTTGGGAATATTTTGTCTATAATTAGTGGCCCAAAAGGGTCAGTCCCGTATCGAACAAGTGTTTTGATTATAGTGGCCCTAGTCCTAGTCTATCAACCTCTTGGTTATGCTGGAAGGGCACTATAACCTGTACAAGCACCTAAGTTCAGTTCCTGATCCCCAGATCAGCCTGTTTGAAAGGTTGTCACAGAGCGTTGACACGGACTTCATCTGGTTCTCTAAAGGCTAGTAACTCCTCCCCATTACCATTACACACTACCATCCTCATTTTCCAGATAAGCACCACGTTGAATGTCTGGTGATAAGTGCCACGCCTACCCATAACAGTTGAAATGCCACTCAGACACAACGAGCTTCACTATGAGTCATAAAATTGACAGGTCTTATGTGCCTGATCACCCTTTACAACCCAAACGCAGTAATGGTCTCATTACTCAATGCTTAGCTGCAGAAGTATTGGGGGCAGAAATTATGTGGACAAACTCTTTTACTTGGAACTCTACTACTATTAGATAACAATACTAGGTATTGACCTAGCAGCCAAGTTTCTGCAACTTAAGGTCTGCGTGTGGTGTTTATTATTAGCAAATATTACAATGGTCTGACTCTTTAAATATCACTCAGTTTCCAGAGAAAGTAATTTTGGGTAACATTCACACTAGGAAAATAAACATAGTTCTTTGAGAAATTATTCTACTAGGTTATTGGAATAGTAGTAAACAAAATAATCATCATGATCATTAGCCTAATGTTTATACTTTTAAAGATTACTTATATACTTTAAATATTTGCTTTTACAAAAAGCAACGCAGTTTTGATATATATTTTACTCTTACAAAACTGTGCTGTACAATACTTAGTAAGTCTAAAATAGTATTATAATAATAATACTATTGTATTCAACATCAATTTTAAATTGTGCAATTAATTAATTATGGCCTCTGTTATTGTTATAAAGGTATGAAGAACATGCATTGCTAAACCTCCTGTAAAACCATCACACTGAGCAACAACTTGCATTCAATGATCTGCAATTTGCCGAGGCGTTAACAAAGGTAAAAGTACAGCAAAAACTTACCACATTATTGTAGTTGAAGGTTGCAGTGTCCGAAGCGAAGTACTCTCTATTCATCTTCTCCCCCATTACTACAGCTTATTTTCACTATTTTACCATTGTTTTGCCACAAACAGATTTCGTAAACGCTTCTAACATGTTTTAACAACAGGTTTTCGTTAAATTAAGGAAATTTCGACGGCCGATGGGAGCGTCCGTTTTAACATTGTCTTATTTAAGGATAAACATTTGTTCTACACTGTAAATTACTTTAGATCACTCGTATAATAACCATAGCTCGTAATTACTAGAATACAACAAAAGATTTATCTAAATTTTAGAATAAAAGGAATAATTTTTATTCATCTATCTTGACAATTTAATTTACCCTTGACACACACACAAATGTCAAAAGTCGCCATTTTAGCTGACCACAGATTATAAACCGAATTCCGTTTCATTGGATGAGATGAGATGAGAAAGAATACTTGAAAAAAAATACCGAACACTGTTTTTATTCACAAAAAAAATACTGAATCCTGTTGGGTAATTTTCCCAAAAATTTCAAATTGTTGGAAATTTTTCAAATAATTTTATGAGATATCTTCATATTGTGTTCTACATTTAGAAATATTTTTCGAAGTTTTATTTAGTGTGAATTTTAAAATAAACATGTATATTTAAAATCCACATTAGAAAATGAGATTTAAAATTATGTTTGTAAATGATTTCACAACAGCGAAAAACCTCCAACAACCACACCACCACCAGTTGTTGACTGCATCATTTTCGTTCAGTAACTTCAACTTTTGACAGGTGTCAACGTCAAATGTGGAAAAACAAAAGAAAAATATTGGAAAAATATTCGGAAAAATATTTATTTTTCTGAAAAATATGGTTTTTTCAAAACGGAAATTTTTCCATAACCCAACACCAACTAATGCTAAAGAGATCATATTATCATCACAGTCATAGACGTAGTACTTTTTTCGTTTATTTTTTTTCCACCGTCTAAAACGTTTTATTTTTTCCATTCTTGTACAGGGTTAAGAGCACGTCAAGCTTGACACTTAAGATTTAAATTTAACTCCATGCCGCTGACGATAAGAATGGTCCAAAGTACAAAGTGTCAAGCTTGATGTGCTCTTGACGTACTGTATCAATGTCGCCAATTCGATGTCGATATTTTAGTCATTTTAAAGTTGTCTCTAAAATACAGATTTTACACTTCAGATGAAAAATCTATTCGAATCTCAATAATACTCATTAAAAGATTCATTTGATTGGCAAGTACTTTGGGTTACAGACGAAAGACTAATACCTACATCTGAAATAAAGATACCTACCATTGAGTAGCGCGTTCACCAAGGTAGCCAAGACAAAATTATATTAAGTTGACACCTAATTAATTAAAACAGTAGCTAATTAGAATTAAACTTGGACTATATATTTTTTTCATCCTCTAAGGAATTAAATGTAAAAATCATTTTTCTTTCCGCTTTTGATGTCAAAATGTCGCTTATTTTAGTGATAAGGTCGATAAGTTGGCAACGCTGCTCACAGAATCAGTCACAGGGAACTCTAAATAGACCTCAGACCTAATATCTAATACACCCTTAAACTTCGGATGCTAATGCTAATGCTCATGTTAATTTGAACTTGGTGAACGGAAATGATGGAGCCCATAAATTTTTCTTTTCAATGTTGTGAATTAATTTTAAATTTCGTTTTTTAGCAACTGCAATTCAAAAAAAGTCAGGGTTTGAGTATGGTTTAAAGCACTCGAAATCATACTCAAGTTCCTGCCAATAGAGTCGTATTTCCAGTGCTTGAAATCATACTCGAGTCTGCTCAAATCCTGACTTCAGCATTGAGTAGAGTTCTAGAATACGACTCTGAGGTTCGTATTCCAATAGTAGAGTTCTGGAATACGACTCTCAGGGTCGTATTCTACTTATAGCACTGGAAATACGACCCTAATGGCAGGGACTTGAATATAATTTCGAGTGCTTTAAACCATACTCAAACTCTGACTTGAGCATTGAGTAGAGTTCTAGAATACGGCGGTCGTATTTCCAGTGCTTGAAATCATACTCAACTCAAGCCCTGACTTGAGCATTGAGTACAGTTCTGGAATACGACAATTCTCTTTGATTTTGACAATTAGAATTTGACAATATCGTAGAGGGGACAAGAGTGTTGAATTTGACATTAACAAAATCTACGTAAATAGTGATTAGATCTTAGAGGATGGAAAAAAAATTGATAGATCCTCTTTGATTACATTATTGACGATTTTCGATTATTTTTAACCTACGATTACAAGATAATTTCTATATGCAATAATTAAGAAACAATCAAGTAGGTGCTATCTGCAAATTACAGTTTTCATAAATAAATACAGAAAATGCATAACATAGAGTCTGATAGCGACGACGAACTGCCATCGGGTTGGGAGGAAAAACCTACTGAAGACGGCAGTGTTTATTTCGTAAAGTACGTTTTTTTTCAATTATAAATTCTTTGCTTACGTAACTAGTAATCTTTTTGTTTACGTACGAGGTTTGCGACAGTGTGAAAAGCAATTTAATTGTTAAGTGTATTTTAAGTGATAAGAAAATGGAAACAAGTGTAACGTATTACTTTCCATTTTTCCGAGGGTTTCGTGATAGTGTCGTAAACATTATTTTGTATATATACAGCACATTCACAAAGAAGACTCAGTGGACGCATCCTCGAACTGGTAAAAAGAAGATTATTCCTAAAGAACTCCCATTTGGGTGGTCGAAAACTATGGACGAAGAGGGCAAAACGCTATACGTTAATAGGGAAACTGGCAACAAAACCTATGTAGACCCGAGACTGGCATTTGCTAAGGAAGAGAAGAGTCATGTGCACGATTTTAGGCAAAGATTTGATGGATCTACTACAGCTTACCAGGTGAATTATTAAGTTTTATCAATTTTACCAATGTTACCTAAAACAATCTTATGTATGTATTTAAAAAAGTGATAATGTGCAAACACATAAGTTGGTCACAGTAGAGCACAGTTAAGAATTATTACTTCTACTACTTACTATAAATACTACCAGAGAACAAAAAAGTAAGAGAATGGATACTCTCCGCCTCTCCCTAAATTTACATACCGCACCACGCCCTGCACAACACGATCATCAGGTCACATTGAACAACAACAAGGCTGTCGACAAGTCGTTTTCGCATCAAGACGGGTTTGATATTTGAATATAGTTTTCATTTATTCATCACGAAACATGTACCTTAAAATATAACGTTACTATTTATAATGGCCGTGAATTGTCCTGTGTAATAGCTCTTTAATATCATCTAAACGGGATAGAGAGAGGAGTTCTTTCATTTTCTGAAAGATGAAAGAAAGATGACAAAAACTTATGTCTGAGACTCGTTCAGATAATATTTTCTTCGTTTATTTAGTGCAGAGTAATGTATAATACAGATTTATTAAATCAATTTAATGAGACGCCATAACTTCGTGAGTTAGTAGATAAAGGTTCTCGAATTTTCAATTTGTATTGCCGATAAATATTACGTGGTGAATATTCCTAATAATAATACCTTGGTTACCTTATTTCATCGAGTATATTACCAGAACTAGAGACAAAATGTCATTTAATTTGTTTGAAAACTATTCTGCTATATAATTACTGAGACAACTGCACTCCGATTGGCTAGCCCGAGTTCGAAACAATTGACGGGTGTCATCAACTGTTTCACTTCAAATCAACCAGTTAACTTGAGCTTCGCTATAAAGGACGAAAATTGCAAAATTACATATTTAATATTTAATTACCGACGAAATATGATTCCGTTTCTTTTGTAATTAGATGTTTTGCTGTTTCTCCCACACCACCGAATAGAACAGCATGGCATTGTTAGAGATATTATCTTTATTACAATAAATACAGAATATTTGTTGGAATAAACGGAGACATACACACAGGTCAGTAGTTGGTATGTCTATATTTCAGTGCAAACGAGAGTTGAAATTTATAAGAGCTGTATCGCTAATGTGTTACCAGGAATATATGGCCCTTATTTCGTCTCTATTTCTGGTTCTATACTCGATGCCTTATTTAAAACCTGTCCAAAATACAATCTTTTAAATGCTGTTAATGTATTTTTTAAATAAATCTTCAATATTATACTAGTTAGTGAATAAATGAAAAATATAATATTGTATCAATATATATACCTAATGAACATATGTAATTATTAGGATTCTTTTAATAGAATTAAAGATAACAGATATGCTTAAGAATTTTCGCTATGTTGCCGCCCTGACCACGTAACGTTAATTGTAGGAGAAAGTATGGGTATGGGTATGGTATGGGTACCCAAGGAGCACACTTTACACGCCTTAAAACTGTTATATCTATAAACAGTCTTAATAAGGTATTGATTTAGATAATAGTTTTCTATAAATGGTTTTAGAAAAAAGAAATTGTTCTTATAGATTTATTTCACTCAAGTCAAAATTTTAATACCTTCTTTAAAAAAGTTAAAATCCCCAAATTTGGGGAGAGCAAACTTCATGTTCCCCACAAATTCCCCACATTTCGAATTATCATTATTTATTAGAAATACATCGCTTAAAAATATAATAAAGAATGAAGAAACTCAAAATGTAATAATCTATTACGTTTGCTGTGAACGTAAACAGAAAGTAAAAAGTAAAACTAATTATAAAATTAGATGACCTTAAATCGTTTATTTATTTTAATAATAATAATAATAATAATGTACACACTCAACATAGCCCCGTACTAGGGAAACCCTGTGTCGCGGGTGCCATGGACACACACTTAGACAACCACAAATTACGTTATTAATTTGACGAGTGGTAAGGTGTGGTGTGGAAATACCAACTGCTTGGCTTTGTTTATCAATAGCTGATTTCGTTTTGTTTCATACCGGGGACCGGCCTAAGCGGGAGAAAGAATCGTGAACTCAACATGCAACGACTGGTAATTTTACAATTCAGAACCAAGTGCTCTAATAATAATTATATTTAAGCTGCTTGTTAATAATACGAGTGATGTGCGATGTTGAAAAACACGTCGATATAGTCCATCACAGTGTTTCCAACAGTAACGATCAAACTAGCGATGCATCAGCAATTGATAAAATGTCAGAATCCTGACATTTTCGTCACATAGCGTCAATTCCCACAAAATCCCTAATCTAGTTGTAACTCCCCACAATTTGGGGAATTCCCCACAAATTGGCAACACTGGATACAATAGTCGCAACTCGCGCTCGGGCCGGTCATGGCAAATGCCGATTTGTTTGTTGACAAATAAATAAACATTGTAAAGTAATTCCGTGTTGTGAAATGATAAAAACAATTGAAATGAGCGCGTAAACTACTGTACTTCAATGTTGTGTGTGTATTGTGCCGTCTATCAATAGAATACAGTGAAATCGTTGTGTGACTTGTGGTTGGCGCAAAGAAATAATCTCAATTTTGTAATGAAAATTTTATTTCTTCCAACCATTGGCTTACAAATAAATGGACGACGGGTCTAATACAAAAACCACGAAAAAAATGTCCCAAGTCAACCTATTCGAAATTTAAATTGTAATGTCATCGCAGTATCGCGCTGTCAGTAGAACAAATGAAGACTAAAGCGGAGTGTCGCGCTCTGTATACGATTTTAGCGCCTTACAAGTGCGGACACTTTTTAGCGCGGACCCGACGTCCATATAATTGTAAGTCAATGCTTCCAACATAAGTTAGGTATGTCATTAAAATATTCCTTATATTTATATGATAGGGAATTTATCCACATTTCTAGTCGTATATAACACATTCCATATAATTATACAGAATAACATTTTTTTTGCGACAAATTGGATTTTTTAAATTGTTTTTTTGACCTAGTGTTTTGAAAAGTTTTTTATTGCATAATACGCTCACTATTTCCTCCTATAACTTTATAAAGGTTTTGTAATACTGTCAATTGAAAAAATCGCGTAGACACCTCGCTTTTTGTAGACAATCATAAAAACTTCATAGGAGTGAAAGTTCTACAAGATCAACTACACTAAAGCAAGTAAAAATAATCTTTTCGTATTCTAAAGTTTTTCTATAGATAAAGCTATAGACAAAATGCTCCCAACTGTGTTTTGAAAAAAGCTTTAAATTCTTATCGCCATTTTTATTTTTAAAGAATGACTGAAGTAGCCGAGAAAAATTTCTTTTCCTTTTAAAAAGTAAATCTAAGTTAAGTTAAGTTGAAATTAGCTTGAAGAAACCTAGAACTTCTTGGACATGAATTGTTTTGTGAGTTATTTTGTATATTTAAGCTTTCTATAAATATTTAAAACCGAAAATTGATAACTGTATTTTTATTAAGTTTATATTTGATACATAAATATTTAAAATTTAGCGAGCGCATTACTTTTATGGCTGGTTTTACATCACTTTTCACAATGTATTTAACGTCACGTCAATTTGCGCTTTCTAACCGATTAAACATTGCGCGACAAAGTCTGAAATATTTTATCTAATTTCGCCATGTTGTAATTTTGACAGTTTATATTTTGTAAGTCATTAAACTTGAAATCTATAAGTATCAAGAGAATTGCGTCTTATATTTGTAACGCTTTAGTATTTTGGTTTTAAAATAGCATTACTAAGAAAACTATCATAGACTATAAATCATCCAAAAAATGTCTACAAATGGTCTTGTAACATTCTAGAAGGGTTACTTGAGAAAAAAGATAAGAATCACTCTTAACACTACCGATACACTACAGATAGTTTCTCAAAGCACTCTTGTGATTTACTAATAAAGTTGTCCACTTTTACTAATAAAGTTGTCCACTTTTACTTTAAATTATCTAGAAACCTTCTTCGAGATATCTTGAGGGCATTTGAACTCTTAAAATATTCAATCGAATTAAATTCTATTAGATATCTTATAGCATATTTTTAGATATGGGTGTGCTGCTTGGTAACCCTGTCACTTCACGCATACATTTGTGCGTGTGCAGATAGCACCTTGCAGTATGTAGTAGTAGTAGGTAAATGACTTTCGACTGTTGTATGGAATGTCCAGGGTGTGCTACTTCCATAAAATGGGAATTGTAAAAATTAAAAAAAAAAAAGGTATATTTAACTCACTTAATTTAGTCCAGTTTCGAACAAGTCCGTAACTGGTTTGGTAAAAATTTTTAAAAACATTTTTCATTTTTCAAAACAGCTGCACGTTAAAAACACTGTGGATTTAGAAAACGCTACTTTATCAAAATCGTTAGGAAATTGTGTGCCTGTGACGATGTGGATACGTGACAAGTTTAAAAGAAAATTGATTTTGTTTTTGTAAATGTTCATGTAGAAACATATCTTGTTTCGAAATTCCAGATTCTACATGGTGTAGACCTCTCTGGCAAATATGCGCTGATTACAGGCTGCAATGCTGGTATAGGCTATGAGACTGCAAAATCTTTAGCTAGACACAATTGCAATGTATTGTTTGCTAATCGAGATCTGCAAGCTACACAGAAAGCTATTGAAGATATTGTGCAACAGACCAATTGCTCTGAAGATAATTTGAAGGCAATACACTTAGATTTGGGGTCCCTTCAGAGTGTGAGAAAATGTGCAATGGCAGTGAAGACTGTGTTTTCTGAGTATGTATCATTATTTGTCTTTCCTATTTGATTTTTAGTAATTTGTAAACAATAATGTTTCAACTGTTTGTTTTTTGGTGTAGGGCGCAGTGGTAATGCTCCTCAGATCTTTGCAATTCAAAGCTCTGAGTGGCATTGTAACTGTCATGGACAGATGTATAGCTTACCATCAAGCGCATGACTTGTTCGTCCCGTCACTTGATGTTGCAAAAAAAAACTTGAATTAAAAAAAAAATATTCGACCTACAATAGCAGAGGAAATTCCAGTGAAATTTATATAAAAAACTTCCATATGCAATCATTAATAAAAATATTACATTACAGCCACCTAGATATGCTTATCCTAAATGCTGGAGTGTTTGGTCTCCCATACATGGAGACTGAAGACAAATTGGAGAGGACCTTCCAAGTGAATCACCTTAGTCATATGTATCTCGCAATTCTACTTGAACCTTTGTTAAAGAAAGGATCTAAGGTAGTTTTTGTAGCTTCAGAGTCACATAGGTAATTGTACTTTTGCTGTGTGTTGCTCATAATTATTTTGATAAGTATACCTAGATAATTATTTTGATTTTACAAAATTAATTGGAACAACAAAATGCTGCTAGCAATGTTGTGCTATGTGTTTGTATCAGATATGTAAACAAGTCAAATGTTAATAAAAAAAGTCGCAAACCAAATTGTTTACTGCATAAAAATATTCTTTTTTGTGCTTATATCGTTTTCTCACCGTTTGTCATTTTAGTCAAAAACAAAAGTGACAAAACTAAGAATCAATGTGGATAATTATCACGCATGTATCAGATAATTATCAAAGAAAAGAAATAGTTACCAACCATTTATACAGGGTCAGTTTGGGAGTGCTTAACAAGGGTTATTGAAAAGGAGCTTTTATATACATAAATACAATTAAACTAACAATAGAACTCAAAAATAGTATACAAAGTCATACTAGATTGTGATAATGTAATGTAATCTAATTTCAGTCACCTTCATTCAAAATACAATTACTCTAGTGCTGGAATATCGAATGCGACTGGTATTAGGTTCCATAAAATGGAGATTGCTTTTACATATTCGCATTGGTTGTCTTATGATATTGTATTAATTTGCCATTTTATCATTTATAGATTTGCAAATTTAAAAAAAATGTTTCTTCAACAAGATATTTCCATGTCCAAGGACTCGTACAGCACTATGATGGCTTACAACAATTCTAAACTATACAACATTATTACTGCAAAGGTAAGCCAAATATAATGACTATCTCAAATAGGAAAACTTGACAATCATAAAAGAAATCTGCAGGTTTGAGGAGCAAATATAACAATTGTGCATTTGTGTGAATACCTTTACATTTATTATACCTTTACATATATACAAACAAGTAAGGCGATTTGTATGTGTGCACGCTCGTCAAGCGCTGTGTATGGACGGACATATGGTAACGCAAGTCCGCAATCCTTCTAAAATCGAAGCGTTCTCTTGGTATAAAAATATTACATCAAATGGTAAGACTATTCTCTATCTGACTACGTTTTTCGTGTGTATGATACCGATTTTGATGGTTATTTTTTTGTTGCAAAGAGAGTACCCCAGTATTGGTCGGTGAATCCGGTTTCGCGCACCGTTAACCGATTTCAATAAAACTTGACAAATTAATGTAATTCTACGAACTTTTGAGGTTGATTTTTTGTCTGTAAATTTATGTCCATATTTAGTAGATGGGCAATAGCAAAATTTAAGTCTTCATAATTTTAAGATTTGCGAGGGAATGAGATATTTATGGTAAAGAAAATTGTTCAAAGTTGTTATTAAGAATCTTTCTCTTACCATTTCTTAATCTGTGCTAATTCATTTTTCGTAATATTTGAGTATTTGTAAAAGCAAAACAATAAATTCAAGACTTAGGGTCGTATTCTAGAACTCTACTCAATGCTCAAGTCAGGATTTGAGCAGACTTGAGTATGATTTCAAGCACTGGAAATACGACCCTAATGGCAAGGACTTGAGTATGATTTTCAGTGCTCACTGCAATACTCATGTCTGTTCTGAGTTCTGGAATACGACTCTCAGTGTCGTATTCTAGAACTCTACTCAATGCTCAAGTCAGGATTTGAGTATGGTTTAAAGCACTTGAAATCATACTCAAGTCCTTTCCATTAGGGTCGTATTTCCAGTGCTTGAAATCATACTCAGATCCTGACTTGAGCATTGAGCAGAGTTCTGGAATACGACCCTTAATGTGACATTCCTGGATATTCCCATATAACCTAAAATATTCCCTAATGGAATATTGATCTACTTTAATTAAATGTTTAAGGTTTAAGGTTTTTAAGGTTTTTTTTAAATTTTTTTAACGCACACACTCAACCTAGCCCCGCACTAGGGAAACCCTGTGTCGCGGGTGCCATGGACACACACATAGACAACCACATAGACAACCACAAATTACACCCAAACTCACGAGAGAAATAAATGTGGGCCATACAAATATTTCTCCCGGCCCGGGAATCGAACCTGGGGCCTCTGCGTGGCAGTCCGGCATGATAACCGTTCGGCCACGGAGGCAGTTGAGTTTGCATGTCGATAATGACTTATCGATAGATTATGGTACGATACTAAAGAAATCCGCCATCTGTTCGTTCAATTTTTGTTTAGGTATGCACGTTCATTCCGTAGTTAGGGCAGCTCCTTTCTTTTATTTTTTTTCCATCCTCTAAGTGGTGGACAGACATCCAGTATTATAAATAGAGCTGTCGAAGGACGTGTCATATACTGTTCTCAGGATTGCATTGTCAGATGCAAGCTTTTCCAGAATGAGGCCACTTTCGCTCGTAACGAAACACTACATTTTTTTAAGGTCTAGCTGCTGTAATGAAAACAATTTAAAATTTCAGATCCTAAGTGAGGAGTGGAAGAACAAAGGGATATGTGTAAACTCATTACATCCTGGGAATATGGTGTACACAAACCTCAGCAAACAGTGGTGGCTCATGAAGGCTCTATTCTTTCTTGTACGCCCCTTCACTAAGTCACTGGTAAGTGAAAGGTCATTGAGAAATAGAAAGAGAGACTAAAACAAAACATAACAAACAAAACTCAACTCGACTCTTATGTATGGATAAAATAGTAACGCACTCCCCAGCGAATAATATGGTAACCGATAATTCCAAATTTTACAGGAAAAATAGAAAACTATTTTTTGTGTATATCTCAGCTCGGGTGCATCGTAGGATAGTTATTTCTATGTCAAAACAAAGCTAATTTTTTTACAGTTTATGTTCTTTTATGATATTTTTGTATTAGTTTTACTACATAAAGTTATTGATGAAAATAATAATAAAAAATAAAAATTTATGCGTTGCATAAAAGGTATAGTATGCAACGCATCATTATCATTTTATTCGCGAGTAAACCCAACGATTTCGTAGTCAGTATTAATGCATTACCGTATTATTCATTAAAATATGGTATCAAAAAATGAATAGTAATGTAATTATGCAAATACATTCTATATAAGAATAAAAATAATACACGAATATAATTGTTTTAATGTGTTTCTTACGCGAATTTAATGGTTATCATCACTTATGGAAAAAATTAACGATTGCATAATCTGTACTAACTTGTTATGGTATTATTCGTGTAAAAAGGGTGTTTAAACATTAAGGGAATAATATTATTATGTACATTACGGGGCCAATGAAATTAATGTGCTTTTATAAATATCCATAGAAATATTACAAAAAAAAATTACAAGGTCTAATTAACGCTCTAAACACCGGATATGCAATAAAATGAAAACTACCGCAGCAGCATATTACCATATTCGGTGGGAAGGGCGATAATACTTTGTCTATACATTAGATTTATTCTGTAGGCCTACCACCAATTAGACCTCAAATTAGGTGTTACTCAATCACCACTTAGGCCGCATGACATATTTCGCTCCCTTTCTCTCATAATTTACCAAATCATGTAAAAGGACAGAGAACCATAGCATATTGCAGTCTATTTAAGTTGTCGCCCCTTTAATAGAGTGAACGGTGTTTCTTTTAAATTTTAGCAACAAGCGGCAGCGACTACAATTTACGTGGCTACAGCAGCCGAACTTGAAGGCGTGACCGGTCTCTACTTCAACAATTGCTACTACTGTGAAGAATCTACGTTAGCAGGGGACAAAGAAATTGCCGAAGAAATATTTACTATCTCGCTCAGATTTATTGAAGAACGCATGGGTGCAGAAGGGATACAAAAGTACTTGAATAAGTATATGAAGAAGCGTGACGACTCGTCATCTTGATAGCGTGAGTTTATTGTGCCTATTCATAAGGCCTAGTGCGTTGTCAATGACAATTTTGTATTAGAGCGAGTGAATATGATATATGTATAAATACATTCGAGAGAGAGAGCGAATAAGCTATATTTTTGAAAGAAGAATGAAGAGAAAAGAGAAATCCAAAACGTTGCTAATACGTGGTAGGTCCTGCAAGTTGCGGTAAGTGTCTTAATTAAAGGCGATTGCAAATTCTTGAGGTGCTATTGTATACTTATAAAGGCTGTATATTGTGAAAGTGAGACATATTCATGCACGTCGTAGTAAATCATGTTACGTAAACTAAAATAAAAATAGGATATGGGATAGAACCAAAGTTAAATCAACAATTTTTTTTTGTTTTGGAGTGTACATAGGAATAAACAGATTCCCTTTACGCTTTCGAGGGCATTGGGAATACTACCAAGCGAGCGCCGAGTGAGACAGCAACAATAACAATGATTTCACATCTCTCTCTCACCTACTCATTTATGTTATGATGAAAAAGCTGTTATCGTAATGATTACGTTTTAGCTTATGCTAATTATTTTTTACTTATGAACTATCATCGAAATGTTATACGTACTAAAAAGATAATTAAGTTATCTATAGTTATATATAGTTAAAAATGTGAAATCAAATTATTTACAATTTATTTACACTTCGTGGTACGGAGCAAGTGTTCAAAATGTCCACCGTTTTCCACAATGTATAGTCTAGCACGTTGTAGTAAATTTTGTTTTAAATTGATCAACACAAATACATTTCGTCTCACAGTATTAAATGCTGAGATAATCCTCTCATGCAACAACTTTGACACTGTTCACCTCCTCGGCGTAAACTCCAATTTGGGAACATTTCAATAGCTCGCCTCACACTATCACCACTTATTGCGTGAAATCGCACCATCTCAGTCAATTCGAAGTCGGAGCAATAATAGTGGTGTGCATAGATTTTGATAAGTAATGTTGTTCACAAGTAGTAGTCGATAAAAATATTTTTTTTTTGTAAAGTTTAAGTTCATTAGTTTATTATTTTTTTGGGTTCAGAATCAGGAATATAACGCACTTTATAAGTATGTATCACTTTCAAATATATAGCCTGTATATTAATATAGTTACACGAGTAAGACAGTGATAGGTCCACAAAGAACATAGGTTTTAGTACTCTGTTAGTTACGTATGATTGAAGACTACTATTACAATCACGAGATTACTCATTGTACAGTTGATACAAATTTAACTTCACCTTCCATCATGTGAAATGTGGGTTAAATGCACATTATATTATCTATAAAAAAAACTAGCGAGTAGCAACTGAGTCCGGGGACGGATGCGTGTCAAATTTAATTATTTATGACAAGTGGGGCAACCGCCCCAGTATCAGATACTTCTTGTATCCGTATCTGTAGAAACTATAAAAGAAACCATTTGGAAGCTACACAACCCGCATTGTTATGTAGCTAAGGTTGTGAAAAGTATGAAAAGTTGCAAAAGAAATGCCAATTACATTGAGTGCTGCATAGATGCTAGCGCTAACAACACATTACAAGTTAGTCAATCTGTTACTTTGTAGTACGTCGACCATATATATTTACGGTCGATTCTATTTATTTAAAAAGAAACAAAAGTTGACAAACTTATCTCTCGAGTTGTTAGGTTTTCGCGATTGTTACACATAGGAAATGAAACTATTTTTCCGGATTTAAATCGCCTATATTTGTTTTTTCCAGTTGATATAAGTGGTAGTACAGTCCAGTTAATATAATAACTCAGTCAGTCAGTCAACCGTGACCATGGGATCTGTAAAGGGCCCGAAACGTCGGTTTGTTTGAAAAAACAAATATACGCGATTTAAATCGGGAAAAATAGTTTCATTGCCTAAACTTATCTGTGATGACCACACGATTGTAACGTAGAAAGCGAAAATGACGGACTGAGCTTAGGTGTATGGAACTTCGCGCCACGTACTCTAAGCACTTCTACTGTATTCATTGTTCTGTGGTGATAACAAAGTGGTATTTTAGAGCCTATGCAGTGCTTAATTTTTTTTCTCTATAATATCCAATATAAAGTGATGGCATCGTATTCCTTATGATTTTTTGGCCATTTTAATTGACTATAAAAAGGGTAGTTTAATGTTGCTAAGGGCGGTTTTATAAGTGGAGATGATATCCATATATGTAATTATTTAATGTTTATCCGCATTTACAAGTGCATTATTTAATAACTGCACTAATAGCTAGCGTTATCATAAAAGGAGCAAAATATATTAAAGGTGTGGCCTTCAGAGCTGAAGAAAGCATTACACGAGTCCTATGAATAATAAAAAAAATAAATAAAATAATTATAAATGTAATAAATGGTACAGGGTCAAAAGCACGTTAAGTGTGACATTTAAGAGTTAAATACAACTCTATGCCGCTTTAAGCGATAACAACGGTTCAAAGTACAAAGGGTCAAGCTTTACGTGCTCTTGACTGTACGTGGACGTGGATTTTGTACTCTAACATTCTGTTATAATGTCTATTTTTACTTAAGTATTCTACTTAGTAATAGTAATTAAGACTTCAAATCCTTTGACGACAACGTCTGTTGGTTCTCTATTCTGACTGTGTAAGAATTATTTTAGAGTTTTGACAATTTTGTTTATGATAGATATCTCTAGAATCTATCTAAGATTGTAATTCAGCGTTGTATGTTACAACGCTCGTTCTAGGCGCATCGACTGTAGGCATCGTTATATAATGTCTACAGGAATAAATAGTTCCACATAATAAGCTATACTTTAAAAGAATAACAACGAGTTATTAAAGGTGTGTAGATAGCTTAAATTGTTCCAGAGGTGGCTGAGATCTTGGCAATAGAAATGTTAGAAGACCGCACACTGAAATCAAAGAAAAAATATCTAGTAATTGTCATTTTAGTGTTAGTTATATGGCAGTTCCACTGCAGTTATTTAACTTCTGCGAAAAAGCTTATAGTTCTGCCATTAAAATATAGTATACGTTAAGTGGTATAGTAAGAGCGCTTGACGTCAAGCCACGTGTTCTCTGTGCTTGTATAGATAGAATGTGTTCACGTGTTTGCGCCAACGGGCCTCGTGGCTTCATTTGAGCGTGATCCCGTCTAGGGTCACGTGATTAGCAGTGATCGGAATACGTAGAGTGTATTTACCTAAACTTTGAGGAACAGAGACTGGAAGTGAAGACTACCTTACGACAACATTAAATTTTCCCGTATTTTTTCGGGATTCGGGAAGTCACTTAATTGCATTAAAAATTGACGTTATTTAGGATAGGTACGTAGACTATTTGACTGTTAGCCAGTGGCCTATTGTTTAATTTTCTTTCTTCTTCTTTCTAATTATGACATGAAAGTTGAGTCAGAAAGTTAAAACGTATACCTAGGACTACACAAAGAGTCGATGCGATAGTTTTGGGATTCCGGAGGAATGTCCATATATCAACAGTATGTTTGATATATATATCTTAATAATTCTGATACATGTACCTATATAATAAGAATTTTTTTTAATATTCCATATGGAATAGAACTACTGACACTGGCGACGTACACCACAATTTTTATAAAACTAACACTGGCCCAAGTCTAGTGACCGCCACGCCATTACGAAAAAATATTATTTATTATTAATATTGTCGGAATTGATCTAAACGTTCCGAAAAATTGGTGGTTACTTCGACTTGCAACAAAGTTTTTATAAATAAATCATAATATTCTTATCTACCCACTTATTCCAAATAACGTAACTTTTTAATGTACTTAAGGCGGTACACGGCGTGTTTCATACGCGCAGAGGACGCGTTGATGACGCGCGTTAACTTGATTCAAACGAGATTCAGTCGCAGCCAGTAAACCTATGCACACATTCACAAATTCATACGCGCCGTAAACGCGCGTTTCAAGTGCGTTTTTGAAACGGGCATTTACGGCGCGTACTCTCAACAGTAGCATAATGGCGTCGGTGGAGACAACACTGCTTACGCTAGCTTTATTAGTGATTTTAAAACGAAAAAAAGTAAACGTAGCCCTTCCCCTGCCCCTTTCCTCAGTCTGGCAACGCGATGTTGGAATACAAAAACGGCACAAACGCAACAATCTGCTTTTCGAACATCTTCGGTGCCGTAAACGCGCATCGTCTGCGCGTATAAAATACTCTGTGTGCATAGGCTCTAAGTGATTTCCCGCATCCCGAAAAAATCCGGGATAAAAAAAGTTGTCGTAAGGTAGTCTCCACTTTCTGTCATTGTTCTTCGAAGTTTAGGTAAACATACTCTACCTATTTCGATCACTGATGATTAGGTACCCAACATTATAAAATTTTATTTTAAAGATTAATTTTAACCATTCACAGACAAAAATCATGACTGTCTGGGTAGTTAGTTTATTTCTTAGGTGCTTATTTTTAACCTTAAGTAGTTTGACAGTTTTAAAAATATTGTTTTCTTATTTATAGTAACATAAAGTGAAAAATTGTTAACTGTCAAGTTAGTACAGATTAAAAGTCGATACTACATCAACTCGAATTAAATTTTTTTTGCATTGAAAAATGTATAGGTATCGTATACTATACGTGTTCTATTTAGTTCAGTTGATATTTAAAAAAATAATTGGTATATGTAAAGTGACATGTATGGTGAAATTACAGGCACATGGGACTTGTCAACTTGCGTCTCAGGGTGACGAGCACAGTGGCAGCGCCCCTCGGATCTTTGCGCTAAAGCTCTGAGGACACTGCAACTATTATGGACGGGCGTGTAGCTTACTATCAGGCACACGACTTGTTGGTCCCGTCACTTGATATAATAAAAAATAGTACGTATTGTATACATCGGTTTTCTTGTAAAATTTCGAGGTAAATTTGTGTTTTTTATCGTGTCTTCAAATCATGTACTAATCAGTGTATATACTCAATTTTACTGTATATTTTTTCCAAATTGAGATTCAACACTTTCACTGTTATGCGGAAACAAACAAAGCCATTTGGAATTGTATTGACTCTTAAGAATTGATAAACACAGAATTGACACTGAGTGAGTGTTACTTACATAAAAGCAAACCACCGAACAAGTAAAAGGTAGCTTCACAAACGACGTTGATAAGCACTCCGGCCACGTTTGTTCCTACTATGGAGCCTATACGACCCATCATCATACTAAGACTGATCGCCATGCCTCTGCAAACAAATCAAACAAAGGTATTGTATGTTTTTATATACAACAGCATATAACGCTTGGGACTCGGCTTGGGAGCCGAATCATGTCACGGGCAGACTGGGTTGGTGACAGTGATGCGAAAGTGACCTTAATTCCTCAATAAGGATACGAAATACGTGTTGGTTGTTTAAGGAGAGAATGCTGTCGTTTGTACTGAGCCGTCTTAACCTAGATTTAGCATTCAAGGTGGAAACCTATTCGAAATCATGTATTTTAGCATCAATGAGTGTTTTTTTAAAATTTATCTATGACATTTTTGTGAAATAACTCCACTAGCTTTGTTATGATTATGCATACAGAGATCGAACACACTTTTTTTTTCCGTCGACCCGGTGGAACTTGACCCCACGACCATGCTGCACCGTAGCCTTGTTCGAACCATTTGAGTCGCGGGTCCAGTTACCGAGTCGTCGAAGTTCTCCTGTGTTTTTGTAATTGATGATATTTGTACCGACTTTCTGCATTCGTCGCCGCTAGTGACATCTAGTGAGAGATTTTTAATAATCTCACCGCAGCCGATACCTTTACAGGTATCACAACTGACATAGATATCGCTTTTCGATCAAATTTATGTTAATGTAATGTTGTTTTTAATTTTTCTAATTTTTACTGTTGTCTATATGGCTGAAACTCGTTCCGTGAAAATTATCATGTTAAGTTTGGTGAAGTGTCATGGTAGTCTTTAGCCATTTATATCACCCGTTATGGTGGGTGAATTAACCCTTAGACAAAATTCGTTTCAAAGTATATTGTTTGTATCCATTCCAGTAAATAAAATTTATAATACACACATGCACGTCCTTTTCCCATAGGGGCACGCAGAGACCACTACGGTTGAAGAGCGCTGGTGGAATTCTGTAGATTGTAATGTAGCTTGCAATCCACATTTCACCTTAGTGAAAGCGTGTGCCGTTGCTGATACCGCTTGGAATGTTCTGTAGACTGCAGATCTTGCTTAGTGAGTTTGGTAGTTCAAGTGGAAATAAATCCGGTTTTATAAAAAATATTTTAAAGTTTTTTTTTGTTATGTTTTAAATGCTTATAGCAAAAGAAATTTTTGGTAACTTGTAAAATTGTTCAAAAAAATTAACGAGATGTGTTCTCTGCCGCGGTCGAGCAGGGAGTGACGATAGAATAAAACAAAATCAGAATGCGATGGAAAGAATGGAACAATTTAAAATTTTGAATTTAAATATGAGTTGAAGGAGAAAAACGATGCGATACGAATGGAGAGAGGCGATACAGAAAGGTGGGATGACGGTGTAAGGAGGTCACACCGTCACACGGTCTAGAATTTCCACGTGACAGACACGATCTTGACAAAAATTTGTGATAGTAATAAAATGTAGTCAATGCACGCTTATCAGTCGCCCGTGACCTCTGTAGTTTTAATGATAACAGAAATAAATGTTCTTTTGTAGTTTTGCATCATAAATATGATATCATTACAAAGGTCCCGTATCAAATGGTGTACGGTTGAAAAATATGAAATCCTACTCTATGTGCTAACCTTAGGACTTAGGATGTACTTTATCCAGTGAATTTCATACAAATGACATATCTGTCATTTTGTTGCGTAATAAATTTGGCATCATTTATGATAATTTAATACAAATGTACACAATATAAACGTTCATAGTAATCGATTACAGTATTAACTCATAAACGATGATACAAAATTCTTCTGGGCGTAGGTCTCTTCTAAGGAGGATTTAGGTTATAGAAATTAGTATTGACGAGTTGGTGACTGCACATTTCTACTTTACGGTAGTGGAATATGTGGAAAAGAACATACCTCAATTGTGTAGGGAAGATTTCTACAGCGAAAGAATTAATAGGTCCTATGGTCAAACCCATTATAGGCAATGAGGACAAGAGCACAGCGAAACCCATAGGATCCGTTATGAAATTTATGAGAATACAGAAGACTCCAATCAAACAAAATACGATCACTAGTAAGGTCTTTTTGCCTA